TCAAACGTTCCACGACGTCGTCGTAGTCGCAGGTGATATCGAGAGCTAACAAAAATAAAAGCCAACAGGTTCGATTGTTATATCATTGGCAGAACTTTGAAATTCTATCAAGCGAACATAAGATACGCAGCGATCGTGCGTATCTCTCTCTTACTCTCGAATGCAAGTGTAAAGGCGTCACGTTTACACCTTATCCTCTGGCAAAATAGAAAAGACTTTTTATTATCCCTTTCCACCCCCGAGAGCTCGTATGTATATACACACACACACACACACACAAGCTCGCGCGAGATTCCCTCCTGACAGAGCTGCTGCTGCTGCTGCTGCAATGCACCACGCCGAGGCGCGCGCACCGCTGGATAACGAACAGCTCTCCTACATTGGCGCGTCAAAATGCGTCTTCTACGTGTGCGGGAGCGAGCTCGAGCTTGCGAAAAAAGGTAAGAGAAGAAGAGAGAAAAGGGAGAGGGAGAAAGAAGAGGAAGAGCATACGCATGCCTGACTCGAGCGGGACTGTAACTACTTGAATATCGCGCAAACGTGCCTTTTTCTTCCAAGCTCCACCTATGTGTGTATGGGTGTGTATGAATACGTCGCGGCGTGCCTCTGTGTGATACTTGTGCCGCTGCTGCTGCTGCTGCTGTTGCACCGAGCTGTGCGTGTGCAACGTTGTCGAGCAGCAGCAGCGGCGGCAAGCGCTGCAATAAGAGAAAAGGAAAGGAAAGACGAGCGAGAGAAAGCTTGCGTGAAATTGAACGAAAAACGATTTTTTTGTACGAAAACACCTTCGTGAAAGTGGGAGAAAGAGAGAGAAGAGAGACTTTTTGCTCTTGTCTTTTTATAAAGCAGAAACGAGAGACGAGTTGACTGAAGCAGCAACGCACACAGGCGCGCACTAGGCGCAGTGCGTTTAAGCTAACGGCTTCGATTTTTCGACAACATAGATGAAAAAAAAAAAAAAAAAATGAAGTAGGAATTTTTATCGAATTGAAGTTTTTCAAATCTCCGTGTGTGCGTACATACGAATCGTATTACCAACCGATGATTTACTTGCGCGAGAAAAGGTCGCAAAGAAAAGATGACAAGATCGCATCTACAGTATGCTTATTATAATAATACGTATGTAATGTATAAAATAAAAAGATACGTGCTCGACTCGCTAGTTAAAAATCAAGAGTCGCCGCTTGAGAGCTGTGAAATTAAAAAAAAAGCCCGACGTCATCTAATTAAGGCTTCTCGAAGCGTGTCGAAGTCGAGATTCCAAACGTCGCGCACACCCACGCACACATACTAACAAACACGTATGGCAGTTGCTGCTTTGGTTGAACGCACTTCATATTATACTCTCTCTCTCTCTGTCGAATCGATTATCCTGTACATGAGGAAGGAGGTCCACGTACCAATCGCTCGAATCCAATTAGTCGTCGCGCTGCTTATATTATGTACCCCCGTGCTTACGACGATCACAACTCCTGTGTACGATGTGTATTCGAGCACCCTCGCGAACGAGTTGAAAAAAAAGCAGCTGCAGCCGCCGCCGAACTGCAGGTAATACGCGGGGTTTCGGTTGAACATTGTAAAACTTTGGCTCTACTCTCTTCCATTGTATTCGTGCGAGAAGAGGCGAAAAGTGCGTAATATGTATTCGAAAACGCCGAGTACACGGAACGATTTGAATGGTAGCTGTGGAGGTCCCTGCAGAGCCTCACCCACACGTACGCACATACTCGCGCTTACACAGAAATTACATCGTGCCCCGTGTATGGGTGCTGTATGCAGCGAGCGGAGCCCTTTATACATTCAAGCCGACTTGGCGGTAATTATTATTCCGTCGCGTCGGTGCATTAATTATAATCGTGCTCGGCTGCTGCTATGGCTTCCATGCGCTGCGTGTGGAGCGCGGCACATTTCGCTCACGGTACAAGAGTCGAGAGAAACAGAGATGGAGAAAGCTCAGCCACAGCCACTGCAGCGAATTGTCAGAGCCCTTCCTGAAAGAGACACGATGGCAGAGCTACGTTATATACATTTTATCGGGGCTCGAGAGCAAGGGTTAAAAAAAAAAAAAGATCCTCTTCATCGACGATGCATCCGCACAGCTTTATAGTTAGTAGCAAAAGCCACTATAGAGCACAGAGTATTTTCGAATTTCGTAGCATCGTTTCTATATAAATCGGAGTTTCTCGTGGGCGCGCCTGTCGAACTATCTACCCGTGAAGCGTCGATGAAAATAGAATTGCCGGCTTGCAGTAGTAGTGGAGTCGCGCGCGAGTCTCCGACCGCATGAAAGATCGATCCTTGCCGCGTCGAGCTCTTTCCGCATTCACGCTCGCACCGAATCTGCAGCTGCAGCAGCAGCAAAGACTAAAATAGAAATAGGAGAATTCGCTCTCGACTAATCGGGGGGTGTGCGCAGATGAAGTAGAAAAAGATGGCCACGTAACCGAGAGGCGCATTTTTGCCTTGCGTACGCGATACATCATATTATTCAAGGAAGAGCGAGGCTTTTATACGATCGGCAAATTCCAAACTCACAGCTATTGTATATCCTATCGGGATATATATTTGTGTGTGCTAGGATGATGCTAAAGCATATACAAACGCATCCTCTATACATTCCGAGGCCTCGACTTTTTACCTGCACGCGGCGATATCGTATTCCGGACCCGAAGTTATGCGCCGCGCTCGATCCTACTCTTCCTCCCTCGCATCAAGCAGATTGAGTTTTGAAATTTCATCTCTAAATAACCTGTATATATACGCGCGCACATATAGAGAGGCTCGCCTGCTGCTGCAAGCATATGGATTAAACTATGCCAAAGCTTCAAACTTCGTTTTATCCGTATGCGATCGTAGCTCTCTCGGTGCAGTGCGAGCGATATATACATTATATGTGTACGTAATATATACCTTCATTATTTGCCTCATTATTTGTACATATTTTCTTGGACAAAACATGAATAAATATTTTCAGCGTTACGCGTGCATACGCTGTGCGTGCGCGAGTTTCGCTTAGAAGAACGAAATAAGCGCCTCGTGATATGGAATTTTACTCTTCTCTCCCCTCTTAAAAAAGCTCGTTAATTTTTTCTTTCTCTGTCTGCCTACACGAATGTTGTTTCAATTGTATTCAGCTGCAATTTGTAATTCTCCGCTGCCGAGCATAATTATAATATCTTTTATTCGGAGTCACGTTTGTTGCTCTGGCAAATATTCGATACACATTTACCGTTTCTCAAAACTCTCTGTTCGGTTTGCAACCTGAATTGTACGCACTGCCTCCACAGTGACGAACCATATTGTATTGGATCTCTTTGGATAAATAAACGCCGACCGCGTCCATTCCATGTGTAGTGTGTGTGGGTGTCGTATCGAAGAGAGGAAGGAGGACTTTTTGGAGAATCATATTTGGCCCAAAATTCCGTACCCTGGAAATAGTGCTGGTAAGCAGGTATTCGAAAATCGAAAATGTCGCGAGTGCACGGGAGAATTTCGAATTGTATATCCCCCCGAGATCGGACTCAAATTTGAATTTTCTGCTTTGGACTAGAATTACATCAGCGTCGATCTTTGAATCGCTCGAATTCCCCATGCACATTCGAGTGAATCCGTTCTTTGCCTTTTTTCGTAGGCAAATTTAGGCACGGCTCTCGTACAAAAGAAAAGGACACCGTGCCCCATATACACTACTACGTATCTCGATAATAACATGATATTCAGAGCTGCAGAAATAAAAAGCAATTGCATGCATATTTTTTGACGAAGCATGGAAAGAACTGCAGAAAAAGGCGGGAAAGAAAGTAAATAAAAAATGAAAAAAAAAAAAAAAAAACGCGGAGAGCTGCGATTTGCTCGAGGAAGCCAGCAACTTGTTGCGCGACGATTACGAGTCGCTCTCTCTCTCTCTCTTTCGCGATGTACGATATTATACTTGTACATCCTCGCGAACGGCATGTATATATCGCGTGGAAGGTGTATATAAGCGCGCGAAAAAAATCCAACCGCAGCTCCGAACGCGTTCGAGCCACGAAACTTGCGACTCACGTAACGTGTGATTGCGAAACGTCGAGAGGCCATGCGCTCGTAAGCCTCCGCGCGCGATAATAATCCAAAGGTCGTGTATATCAAGCGAAAAGGGACACGAGTTTAAGGTTGCACGCGGCCGGAGTTGGCGAAAATCAACAAGTGTTGACGGGCCGCGAAATCGGCCGGTAGCAGCGGCATTCGATCGATCGCAATTACGCAAACACTCGCGTTACGCGCCCACCTTCGTTTCGTATACACCCATACCTACATGTTGCGTGCGTGCAATAATAATTATTGCACGAGCAAGTAATTATATGTAACGCACGTGGCGATTCGACGACGACGGCGGCCGAATCAAAATGCGAAAAGTGAAACTCGGCGCGAATATCATGCATGCGGGATCGTGTCCCGCGCGCGTGCGGAAGAAAAAGTGAACGGCAGCGGCGGTGCGGGGTCCGATCGACGCTGGCCACTGACCGACATCGACTCGAGTGCGGCCGCAGCTGCTGCTCCGAAATGCACCTAACTGCAGTCCAGCGCAGGCTGCAGCTTTTGTATATTATCCTATATGGTCAGTTCGATCGTCCCCGTCCATGTTATAAACGTCAAATTCGCAGCTCTCGCCAGTTGTTACAACATACATTTGTACATAGACATTTGCATAGACTCAGCTAGCCACTGTGGTATGTATGTTACACAAACGTAGACGCACTTGTATATGCTTTTCTACTAATACGATTATTCGCGCGCGTCCGGTGCATAGCTATATGAAGTAGTATCGTATAGTAAGCGGAAAAGTCGTGACAGTTGTGCTACTACTGGCCTGCCTGTCTGCGAGCCATTTAATTGTATATACCTATATTGTATATAGAGGACGGGCAGCAGTGAGTTCGGGTGCACTGGCGCGGCTGCAGGCAAAGCTCGGAGCCCAGCTCGCGACTAGGCGGCACAATTCCACGGGTGGGGAAAATCAATAAGAAAAAAGAGGCACGCACCACATATAGCATAAAGCTCGCCAGTGCAGCGTGTTACGCGACACTACCTACACACGGGGTCCCCCCTCGGTACATCTGCACTCGCGATATACTTCGCGACAGCCTACGTATCGTAATTTCGTGCAAGTTCGGCAAATTGTCAAAATGAAGCGCAACAACGTCTTTCGCGGATCTCGCTTTAGTCTCGTGCCTCGGCTCCGGGCGAGCTGCTGTACGCGCCGAGTAGCTTTGCCTGCTGCAGCTGCGGCTACTCGTGCAACGCAATGAGCGCGTCAAAGTGAGCCTGTGTGTTCTCTGTCTCTCTCGGTGTTTGCACTCGCTTGCATACACCCCTATACCTATATCTATATACATAGTATACAGCGGCGAGGAGTTCGCTGCAGCTGTGCCCGGAATTCGCGGAGGAGGACGCCAAAATTATTCGCCTCAGCTTTTGAGGTTAATCGGAGCTTGAATCACTGCCATCGTATCACCATCGCCCTCGCCAGCTGCTGCGTGCCCACTGAGAGACTGATTTCGCAAACGAGCCATATACAATATCGTTAACGAGTTATCGAAATCAATTCTCAGTAGTAGCAGCAGCAGCTGTTTTATAGTAGTAGTGTTTGACATATAGCAGCTTATCACGCGCTTCTTCGATGATATCGAGTAAGTCGCTTCACCACTAATTGTGGAAAAGTTATTACACGTACATCTTGGCTTGAACAATGGATTTGCAATAGTTTTGCTCGCTAGACTGCGATAACTTGGATGAGAATTAAATGCCGAACGATTTTGCCGAGTCTAAGTGATAGATTTTTCCATTAGCTATAGTTTTTTGCTGTGAGTGTCGTGTACTAGAAAAAAAATCAAGCTCCGCGATCGTTTTCGATAAATTATTCAAGACTACGTCGAGTGCGAATATTTAATCGATTATATTCTAATCGTTATTTATTTATTTATTCATTTATTTATTTATAATTAACGGAAGGTTAATTTTATTCTATTCAATCTGTCACTTCTCAATATTAATATGACCTTAGCTATTTGACTACTTGACATAAACAATACTCTTGTTTCAGCCTTGAACAACTTCAAGTATAAGAAAATAAGCAGACTTCTCAATGGCAAGTGAAAGATGACACCAGCTGCAGCAGCGGAGCAATGACTAAGACTTAGATATCAAATTCTGTACAATTCAAACAATCAGTAGCGATGGCTTTTAAAGGGCCCAAATTAATGTGGCTATTGCTGCCGCTATTCCTGTTGATGCTATGTGATAAAACTAACTCTACGCATATCACAGGAACCTTCAAGACAAAAGATTTTTTCAAGTTCCTCATTAAATTTGGTTTTCAACGAACAGATCAACTTAATCCAAAAGATTCTTACGGATATATTTTTGGTAATATCACTTCAAGAACAAACTTTACTCAGAACATTACTTTGGCTGTGCTCGACCGCAGCCACTTTTTAGAATACTATGGCAATCGAACAATAAGAAATAAGGAACTCGCCTGTGCCATGATGTTTGATACGCTTAAGAAGAGTTCATACGATGAAAAATGCAACGATGATGGTCAAGATTACTTGAGGTAATTATCTACTACATCTTTGACAAGCATGGCTTTAATTCATCGATTAACAATTATTAAAATTTCGTAGGAGAGTCCCTTGTCCAAAAGGAAAATTGTGCCCAGATGAAAATGTACCTTGGAATGTAATTAAAGGAAACCAATTTACTTATACGATACAAGATCTGTATCAACCACGTTTCTGGTACATTAGTTTGGTAGCATGCTACAGAAATAATGAAACTTGCCAATGGGAGTATTATGACAAACAAGATGAATTAGAATATGACATATGGCTTGTCAATGGGAATCCTAATAACAGTGGTTTGAACAGTCTGACCTATCAATTCTCTTATGATAGGCAGAATACCATTGAAATGTATTTGATGTTCTTTGTGTGTTATATAATTTTGGTGCCACTTCAATTGTATGCTGTTAGCATACAAAAACATCCTGTTACAAGACTTTTCACAGCCAGTCTTCTTTTTGACTTTATGGCTTTAACCCTAATTCTAATTCACGTTTTAAAATTTGCACTTGACGGGGTAGGCTATGAGCAATTAGAAGTTGCAGGTGACATAATGGATATTATATCAAGAGTAAGTTTATTACAATAATAATTGAAACTCAGAATAAATTAAATGTTATCATAATCATTACTTCGGTTTTTTTCAGACAACTTTCATGCTATTACTATTAGTACTAGCTAAAGGTTGGGCAGTAACCAGACAAGAATTAACTTGGAAACCTTTACTTTTTACAATTTGGCTTTGCTATGGAGTAGTACACATTTTATTATATGTTTGGAATATGGTACGTAATCAGTAATGAGGAAATTTTGATATATTGTCTTGAAAATCTGTTCATGTAAACTAATATTTATATTTTTTTCAGACGGAAGTTGATATCATTGAAGATATTGATGAGTATCAAACTTGGCCTGGTTGGTTTATATTATTTTTCCGTACTATGATTATGGTTTGGTTTTTACGCGAACTTCGAAACACCATGATGTATGAGCACAATACTCAAAAACTTAACTTTTTGCTTCACTTTGGTGCATCTTCATTGGTATGGTTTATATATTTACCTGTAGTAGCTCTTGTAGCCCTTCAAGTTGGTGCTCTTTGGAGGTTTAAATTATTGTTAGGTAAGACAACATTAATTTCATTTTGATTTTTTATTTATTTTTTTCATAATTATCTAAATATAATTTTAAATCTTTATTTAACAGGTATCACATACTCAATTGATTGTTTTGCTTATTGCGTTATGGCTCATTTACTTTGGCCAACGCGTAGTGAACAATATTTCCTTTTAGCTGAAGGTGCGGATCATGGCGATGAACTCGATGAATTTAACGAAGCACCTCACGTTATCAATAGCTACGTAGAACCACCAGAGTTTAACAAAATCATTGCTTAAGTTAAACCCAGAAAAGTAAAATGGTGTGTTAGTAGAGTGTTACTTTTTATGTTGTAGACTGAGTCTTGTCACATTGCATTTAATGAAAAAAAAATGATGCCACACAGACACGTTATTGAAAATTATTCAGTTGAGAACTGCAATTCTTAAATATTCAATTGTTGTAAATAAATGATTCATTGTTATTTTTTGGTGAATCATTTTTATTGTTAAGATAAGTTCTGTTATTAAGGAACTCGAATGTAAAATATTCATATAGGTAATATAATTTTTTATATTTTACATTAATATCGAAAAACTATTTTTTATCATTTCAAATTAATGATAAGTTTAGTTAACTTTTGTATTTTATTAATATTTATTCCTTCAAAAAATTTTATCAGAATGATCATGTATAAAAATGTATTCAAAATGTAATTATTCTTTTATGAGATTTTTTAAATCTCATGGAATGTCTTCTATGAGGTATATTAATCTTTGCCGTGATTTTTGTAATAAGCTTTAAAATTAGCGATAAAATATCTGAACATTGCCTAAAACACTGTTCATTTTATCTTAATATGTAATTAGGAAAGTCAATTTGTGATGCTCAGTCAATAACAATCTAATGTTTTTATAACTCAAAAAGTAAATCTTTAAATGTAAGTATAAAAATACTTATTTAGACGCAATTTCTTATTTATACTTGGAAAAGTATGAAATTTAATGTGAAAAAATCGATGACAACGTAGAAAAGCTTTGAAACAATGCAACGATAATGTGATGCAAGATTGCCAAAATATCAAAATTAGTATGTCGATGGAACAAAATACTTTTATCTCCTTAAGCCTGATGATATTTGTACTACTTTCTTACCAATTTCTATCAGTCGATGTTGTAACAACTAAGTAATTAGTAATCAAACATTGATAATTTTTCATAAGTAAAGTTGAAAAAATTGAATGTACAGTAAAAGATACATTTTCTCGCTTAAATTATTTTCATATATAAATGCCACAACAAATTTTCTACACAAAAATACTCTATTCTATTAAATGAAAATGTATTTGTAAACTCCAAATAGTTACATCAGTATTACAGAACTCCTCAGCCAACTTTTAATTGAAATTACTTGACTAAATTGTAAAAGAACATTACTCACAACTGTATATCTATATTGTGTATGTATTTTATTCTAGCCATTTATCAATCGATAATATTCTTTGCCTCAAAGGTGCAATTCTATATATCTTTAAAACATGATTCACTATGATTTTTAATTATTTCTCTGATATATGTAAAGATTAGTATGAATGACCATTAGAGAAATAATAAGCTAGCATTCCATCTATTACTAATATGTTACTTACATTTAAATTAAATTCTTCTTTAAAAAAACTGTAATTAGTAAGGTTTTTAAATCTTGTAAAATATACTTTTGGATAGAAACTTACAAATTAAATCAAATTATTTATCACTCGTTGTAAAAGATTTAAGATGTACACTTGATTTAATAAACAACAAGAAAAATATAATCTTTAACTAGATTTCGATCCAAGCGTATTTATTTTTGATGTAACTTCTTTTTATACAAAAAAACTTTGGCTTATACTTTTACAATTGATATAATCAACATTCAAGATATCTAAAGCAACCTTAAGTGAGAAGTAATCTCATCAATCTTTTCTGTTGCACCAGGACCAATACCCAATACAGTAATTGTGCCAGGTTTTAACTGCGTTCTTCCAGCATCTCTAATGGCAGCAGTGACGAGTCCAGACTTTTGTGCTGTTTCATAAAGGCGTAAAAATTCTTTTTCAGTTTGAACTTTCAAAACAATCTTAGGCTGACCCATCATAAGCCATGCCCTAGCAGTAAAATAACTAAGAAATCCTCTTCTAGCTTTTGTAAAACATTCAACTGCGGCATGAGCACATTGCGATGCAATTTTGCCTTGGCCCATTCCTATGTCCATTCGGACAACTAAAACCATTTTAATGATAGACATCTCTGCACACTATTAACAAATATTAATCAAGAATACTTTTTCTCTTGTGATTCTCTGTACACATTCATACAATCCTTAAATTTCTTAATTTGATCTTGGCACTGTCTCCAATCGTGGGTTTCAAAAAAGCATTCCTAAAATCAGAAATAATACCTTAAAAAACCATTGCAGTGGACTAGTTTATTATTAAATAAACATTATTATTACCTGTACTGCGTGATGTAGATCAATACAGCCGGTCTTTTTTAGCATCAACTCTACTTTATCAATTGGTTCTAGCTCTTTTTCTTTTTTCTCTTGAGCATCAGACATAATTCCTGAAAATTATTTACATCGTTCGATGTTATTAATAATGATTCTGTACTTTCTTTTCAAATTATGATCTGTTATGAAACCTCCCCCTCACGTGGAAAGAGCAGAAGACGCACAGCACGACGACCGACGACGATGTCGAAGACAGCTGTCGTCTGTCGATGACCGGCATATTTCAGTACCCATTGTTGCCAATCCCCTGCAACACGAGTGGCATCCATATCAAAACAATGACTCATCTTGTCAAAAAAACTTTTCTACGATGAATAAAAAGCAATAAAAACTAGTCTAATTTTCGTGTAATCGACGCTTGAGCACATCGACTCCTAATCAAATCAACACTGAAAACTGTAGAACATTTTCAGTGTTGGCAATAAACCTGTTAAAGTAACGAGCAACTCGCTTCAAGTTGATTCTGCATAATCTGCCGCTCTTACACAAGTGTTGCTGTGCAGAATTTTAAGTGAAAAAATTAAATGAAACTATGAAGTGCACCGTGATTACTGATTCTTGTCAAGACTGTTTGAGATAATCGATTCCTCGTTAATTTCCGTTCACCCAGGTGTTGCAAGCTGGTACATACTTATTTTTATAAACAGAAGTGCGCGCCTATTTACTCTGTGAAAATTCGCGTGTGCCAAATCCGGCATCTCGCTGGGGCCGGAAAATTCGTGTAGATATGATGTATCGCAATGTGACGAATTCGATATTGGTTATAAGCAGTGTCGATGTGAAAGTATGAAGCAATTCGTCAAGCATAAGAACGAGAGTTGTTTGTGCTGTGTCGTTAAGTGTCGAAGAAAATCCGAACCCAGGAAAAATATAACAACTGATAGGAGAGGTTAGTTTTTGTTGCAATAATTCGTAATACTTTTATGTTTTCTTAATAAAACGTCGAGGCTATTTCTATCCTTTAAAGATTTAATTTTGACCAATACACTCCTCAAAGTGAAACTCATAAGGTTTATATCAATACCATTGAATTCAATGGTTTTCGTTGTTTATTACTCCGATTAATTTAAAAATGTATGAATTATTCAAAAGCAAGTTGACCCTTGTTTAAACATTTCTCGGAACTTTTTCGTCAACTTATTAACTATTCAAAATAAAATCATCAGGTGTTGTTTGTCATTGAAGCGAAATGTTAAACCGTTGTTACGCGGCTCGGCGAGTGCAACGAACTTTTATATCGCTACTTACACAGTCAATGAATAATTAATTGTCTTAACTAATTATGTAAAACACCGTTTTCACGGGTCAATTTTACTCTCCCTTGCTTGACTTTTGTAAGACACGGAAAAAAATTACTCTTATCTGTAAGTTTGTCAATTATTCTTTATTTATTATATTGCTGTTTCCATTCCATTCGATCATAAATAAAAATCAATGCTGAATGTCCAAACGAAAAGTGCGAAGCTCTCCTCAGTCCTCGGCTCGCACGTGCGATCAGTGCGCTTGCGCCGAGCGTCTAGCAGACGATATCTCGCTGTTCGTGGTAGGTTTTCTTGTGTATTTCGGAGCAAAACGTGCATGCCTATCTTTCCTCGAAATGACTCGTATTGTTTTGATATTGAAGTGTTGACATTCCGAAGAAATGGAAACGTGATCAATCATTGGTCTCAGTCGAAACAATGACACCTTCTCTTTTAAGGTCTTTAAACTTCTTGAGCATCGTAAATAAAACTCGAAGTATATAATTCGAAAATACGTATAGGCCTTGTCTTTAAATGAAAAAAAGGAAGAAGGGTATTTAAACGCAGACTTTCATATTGATAAAACAGAGCTTGCGCGGAGAGCGACTGACGTTGCAATTCGAGTTCATTCGGAGCAGCCACCCTCTTTCTCTCCTGTTCAACCTCGAGCCTCCCTCGAGTTTGTATACACGAGTTGTGAAGATGAAGGAACTTTTCACTCAGTTTTTCTCGCGATTTCCGACCAGATCCTTCGCCCGCGATGACTTGGATGATCCACGAGATTTGTTGTGACGTACCAACCCGGTTCGGAGTGATAGTGAAATCGATGTGCTGCTGCTACTATTACTGCGAGTATCCTGATCGTAAATGGGTCAGCAGCGCCGAGTAAAAAGGCCAACGAGTTTCTACCCCGAAAATATTAGGTATTTTTGTCCGCTCAGTTCAGACGACTTTTTGCCTGTATCATCGTTATTAGATGGGTATTATAATCGTGTACGCTAATTCAAGACGATTCGTCATCATATGATTTGTTCACCGTGAATTAGCAGAAAAAAAATTGAATTAAAATTGCAACTCTTTTACGATCGATTGATCAAATTATTATTTTTTTATCTTGATTCTGAAGGTCAACGTATCGCACTTATCACCTGTCTCGATCTGTCAGCACAGCAACTATAATAAAGCTAAATCGCGAACAGATTTAACGTCGTTTGCTCAGTATAATATTGACTTTTTTCTTCGGGATATAAGTACACATTTGATCTGCAGCGGCGCGCAATCGTTTCCAATTATTACATTATCGGAAATTGGTAACTCGAGTCGAAGACATTGTAGCTAATTCCCGAGCGAGTTAAATGATAACCGATAAAAAGTGGAATCTGACGCAATGGCCGCAGTCTGCGACGATTGATTAATGATTTTTCATAATTCGCGCAGTGATTAAGGCTTATACTTTAATCACGAGTCTCGAGACTCTCTTCTTTTTTTAACAACTTAATTAAAAGTCATTCAAGTTCAAAAGCGTAATAACTTTTAATAATCAAATTGACCATTAATTAGAGCTCGATACTGTCTCTTGAATAAAAAAAAAATTGTGATACAGCATGCAATGCAAGAGTCTCGACGGTTTCGAATGAGCAGTAGGACTCGTATTCATAACACATGTGTTTGAAGCATTAGATGTAGTCTGCATGTATACAGTACAGTGGAGTTCAAGGTTCTTATCGGCAGTGCAAACTTGGAGCCTCTACCGCCAGATGGACAGCGCCTCCACCAACGCAGTCCTGCAGCGGCTGATGCACTTTTTTTGCAAAAAATCGCACCACCCCCGCATTGAAAAGTAACTCGGGAAAATTTCACTCGTCCAGTAGTCGAATAGTCGTGGCATCGTTCTTCGTTTGATTCAACCCCATTCCAACCCGATTGTCCATAAAATAATGCACCGAAAGCCCGCGAATTCGGATCTCCCGCTCGTTTTCGCGCAGCACCCGCAAGTGGCGAGAAATTTCCTCAGATTCGTATATAAGAGCGGCTCGCCGCTAGCTCTCTCGTGGTAGTCTGATGCTTCCCGGGAAACCAACGCATTATGAACGCGGCCTTGATATCGCTCTAGACCACTTCATGTGCAGTACACACGTACATACACCAAAACCGTCATCTCGATTTCGATAATTTACTTTAAAACAAACCGTGGAAGCGACTGTGACTATCATTTTGCCATTTTTTTTCCTGTATTCTTTTTTATTCTTCATCCTTTGTTTTCAATTATCGACGAGCGCATGTGCTGAGCCGTGCAAGAAACAACTGACAATTTAAAAAGAAAAATCCAACTGACGACAAAACGTGACGTTATCGGTTATCTTTTACATACGCGCCGCGTTTCTTTCCACAATTACGAAAATCGTCGAATATAATAATTTGTTAAAAATTGAGCGCGATGTACGTCTGTGGAAGATTAAGGCGATTAATACCCTGGACCTCCATCAACAATAATAAGTCCAACAAAATACCAAGTAAACAGAGGCCAGATTTGCTTATCGCGTGCGTGTCAGAGAGAGATACTGCAATTTTTGACGATCCCTTTTACGCTCGAGTCCACTGCTGTTGATCATCATTGCTTATAGCTACGCACAGTAGTTTATTATCTGGTTGCCGATGTGACGACAAACTTGAGACATAACTGCACGAATACCTCGAATTTGTCGCCTGCAAAAGTTCCTCTGATTAATCCGAGTCTCCTCTTGCTTCTAATGCCAATAGTAATAAATCTAATCGATATTGTATGTATCGCAATACGAGACGCGGCGGCTACTATTACGATCTAAATAATAATGTCTTATGCAACACAATGCATCGATCCGTGAGCGAAAGAGAGAGAGGGGAAAAAGAGCGAGAAAATATTATCATTTCGCAGACGATAATGACGCGTCGGGCAGATCGTCTATAATTTGAAGACAAAACAATGAAATACTGCATATTTTTTTCTCCTCCCTTTTTTTTCCTATCAATCCGTCGAGCTTAAGTTTCACTAATCTTGCGCGCGCGTAACGACGACTTCTGGCAATTTTGCTCGGCTCAAACCTTGAACCTGCGCATCGCAGAGTCGACGTCGTCGTATAAGTCGTCATCGACTTTACAAGCATAAGCTCGTGTATATACTAAACTATTCGTGATTAGCTACTCCGCAAAAATATATACGCTATTACGTCGCTGAGTCTCTGTATACATATTACATGTATATAAGAGAATAAGAGAAGCTCACGTGTGCGAGCAGGATATGTCTAGCTGATGGTCCGTGCCAATCGACCGCACGAAACTAACTTTAGTCTTTCTTGGCCGGCAATGCCACCCGCGCGCGCACAACCGTGTGTTGTAGTACCGTCGACGACAACTCGATCCGCGCGTGCACTTCCGGCTCGAGCGCAGACTCGCTCGAATTACCTTAGATTTTTTTTATTTTTTCTTAAATATTTGATGGAGCGTGTTCATTCTATTTAAAGAGAACCGAATCGCGTTGCAAAAATTGATCATAATTAAAAAAAAAAAAAAAGTAATCGAACGAACGAAAACTATTATTTATCGTCGATTTGTCCACATACAGTGCTCGCGAATGATATACGGCGAATTTTTGGAGGTATGCGATTAGAGACTTGTGAATTTATTATTTTTCATTGATAAATAACTCTCGAGGCAAAACAAAAATGCGAATCGGAGCTGAATTTCAATATTACGCATTCGAATTGGAGTGGTTTCCCTTGTAAATCGACGAGATACGCGCGATTATGCAGAAGCGAGCATAAACAAAATATTACGAATGAATGATAGTGCATATTGCGATTATTCAATGAAACTCATAAACACATCGTTATGGTTCGCAACGTATGAATATGATTTGACTAAAAAAGAAATTTACTCATTTGTGTTTCAGCTAAATTGCCACTATTGGTTGTCAAAATTTCAAAAAGCTGGGAGTGATCGGTCTGCGCGAGTTGACAGCATGGCAGGGAGGTTTGACGAACAAAAAAGAAACGATAACGATAAAGCTCCAAATTTCTCAAGCAGTACTCAAGGTAAGAAGATAAAGCAAAGTTGAAGAACTTCGAGACTTTCCATCGTATAATAGGCTCAGCATAATGTTTCTCATTCTTGTTGTACGTCATTGTGACATACGCGTGGATCATCTCGAAGTCGTTGACAAACAATAATATCTGTACTGACGTTCGCTGCAAATGTATCGGGCAAGTAAACAGTGAGTGAATTCATTTTGTCGTCGTTTGTGATGCAGATACAAGTAACACTTGCGCACACACATACACAAGTACTCGGGTACAATCGACTTATCAAGTGTCTGTCAACTACACGTAGTATTATCGTGGCGTTGTGTGACACTGCGCTGGTCAATTTTTCTCCCCTCTCGCCCAAAAAACACTAAAAATTCTTGTTTTTTCCGAAACGAGAAGCGATACAACACGTTTCTAATCAAGATGACTGCTGCTCTCCGTAACAAAGCGAAGGTCTGCCTGACGCAATGCCGCTGATATGATGCAAAGAGCGGCACGAGCGAGCTCGCTAATTGAAAAAAGAAGCCACACATAATAATGTATACGGGCTCGTCGTTGCCGCCGTTCGCTCGTCCGTCGCACACACGCGCGTATTGTATACGCTCGAATAGCCGACTCCGAATAAGTAGCGTATGATAATTACATTTTTGAGGCGAGCGTATAGCCGCGCGAAAAATTTCAGGGAAATGCAGAGAGCGTTTTTGGGCTAAAAATACGATCCTCGAGCCGTAATGAATTCTGCGCGCCCGAGAGATGCTCAGATATGCGATTATTTTTATTTTCATTTTCGATCGATCATTCAGCGACGCGATGACTCGGCTTGTTTTTATCGTCGCATTGAATTCACGATTCCTTTATGTTTTATGTCATCCACACGTGTTTTACGATAATTTTATAAATATAATTTTTTTCTGCTCGATTTTTGAACTTTTTTAATTATGTTCTACGATCGATATCAATGCGCATGTTCCACTAAAGCCAGAAGTCTGCACGTGGGCTTCCCCCGTAATCACGTTGCGAATTTCGAAATTGATACGACACGATGACTCTGTGTATCGCCGAAAAAAAACTGTCAGCCTCTCTTATTACTCTAAATTCCGTATCTTTATATTCGTATCGTTGTGTACGCCTGCAATGACGCAACTCTATTTGTCCTCGTTTTTCTGGTGTGTATGAATGACTATGAAAATTGACCGAGATTTTTTTAGTCGCGTCATCGCTGTTTGGATTTTCCACTAGACTCGAAGTACCCTATATTCTTACGGTCATATGCTAATAAGCGCATACTTTCGCCTTGTTGTCGAACTGAAATCTATTATGTCAATTATTTCTGCACTGTTTATAGTAAAGCGTCGGGTACTATTCCTTGAGCATCACTTGCTTTTATTATTGCAGTATTGAATGCATTTGTACTTGCTCGAATCATTCGGAAATTTTTATCTAAATTATCGTTTCTCCATATCAAAGATTAATTTTTACACTTTGAACTATAAACTGCTGGTAGGTAGATTATGAATATGATTAGTTCTATTGCCTAATCGATAAAAATGAAAGTGATGAAAAAATTGTGATTATACAGGAATCAATACTTTCTAATCATCACACAGATGTAACGTCTAAAAAAAAATTATTTTTCTCCATGAAGAACTAAATTCTACATTTGCACCAATATTATCTTTTGGACCTCTGTCTGAACAAAAAGAAAAGATGCACTTCAACTAATTGATTCCGTGCTCACAGTCAGATTTATTTTTGAAAAGGCACTCTTATTTCAATACCAGTTTTGAGGAACGCATCCTCTTTCAAAACTATTTAAGGCATCCCGATTGCTTCATCGAAAAAAATACTGATCAGTGACTAGAAAGTAATATCTCGATATATGAGTCTCGTGTATTCAAGTCAAACAAAGTACACACGCAGATCTAATCTCTCTAGGCTATAGGAAGAGAATATATTATGAAAGTATAAAAATAGTTTTTTTGTTTCCTCCATAATTTTATCACCTCGACAATTGATATCATTCACTCCAAATCTAACGCTCATTCATGAGTTTTTGTTATCCTAAAAGTTCGCGTTCATCGTCGCTGTGTACAGCTCCTAAATTTAAATTCGACCTCTACTCTGCTCATTAGTGGAGCAAAAAAAAGTAGAAAAAAAGGAAAGATAAACCAGTTTTATGATGCCCATGGTTTATGTGTATGTGTGTCTATGTGTGTACATAACTCGTGCGAGGCTCCTCTCGAGACAAGCCTCCGTACACGAAAAAAAGGAATTAAGCAATAAAAACGGGTCTGTCCCTGAAAATACCCACTCATGTACTCACAGTCGCATGTAACACGTGAATATGTATAAGTATAAACACACATATATACGCACACAACACACTCATGGAAGCCGGCGCGACATTTACTCAAAAATAAAACTCATCGACCGAATGCTCGTGGAACGCGTACTCTCATATATACACGCACTCGCGCCGGTCTCTTTTTCTCTCTCTCTCTTTCTCTCTTTAGCGCGTCGCGTATTACACCGACGAGCCTACCGATGCCGGCCAATGAGAAAGCAAACTATAATCGAGCCTTCCCCTTCTTTTCGGCAAGACCGATGTATTTCCTCGGCTTAAAAAGCTAAGCGACTCGCCGTAGAATGCATTATTTTCAGTACAGACGCTCTGGCTTGCACGCATACGTAAGAGGCTCGGCTCGTCTCGCCTCTCGTTCGCTTAAAAATTGTAAAGTGTCTGCCGCCGCGCCAGTTTGAAACCATATACATAAATAATACAACACCACCATATTTGCCATTATTATAACGGCTTGTTTTTAAATACTTGTGCACCGTGGGTACCTTATACCGCATTGTTGCTGCGACTCTTTTTGCTGCACCCCTGCCTGGAATACTTCTAAAACCACAAAAGGTAAATTTGGCTGCACGTGCGAATATGCGTTATGCTGTGCTATGTGTCGCGGGTACGAGTTACATACACACATTTCGACACAATGGGGAGACGTGTACCTCGAAAATGTAAACGAGGTTTGGCAGCTCTCGACTTACGTGGACTTTGTGTTTTTCAGTGAATGTATTTCGTTCTGGAAGAAAAAAAAATTATATCGAATCGAGAGTGCTTTTACTCGATCGAATAAGTAATACTCTTTAGTCGCGATGACAATTTTTTTTTTCGTTCAATAATTAATTAATTGTGGAAAAAAATCAATTGCGAAATCGGCTCTTATCGGAGATCAAAATGATAATTCAATATTGGAGACTTATAATATATATTGAAAAAAAAAAAAAAAATTTAATTGCGCGTGAAAAAAAATACAAGAAAAAAAAACAGAATTTCTGGTATAAGTTAGTTTAGGCGCGCAAAGTAGAGAAAATTAACAGGCAGTCGTGAATCTAATCGAGTTTATTTGCAGATACAACAAAAATGCCAACGGCGCCGAGCAAACCAGGCCCGTTCATCGGTGTCATCGACGTCGGTACTCGTACCATACGATTTGTGGTAGGTATTATTAATTATCTTATCGAAAGTATACAAAAAAATATATATAAAATAAAATTAAAAAAAAAATTAATCAATGAGCGATGACCTAAAATTTTTTTGCCAAACGACTCATTGAACCGCTCAATCGGCCTCACGCAAACTTTTGTTGATTCCGATAAACACGCGCCGATATTCAAAATATCAAAAAATGTAAACATTATCGCACATGCTTGACTCGTCTGCATCCTCGCCGCAGATCTACAACGCCAAACACGCGACCGAGGTGGAATCCCATCAGATCGACATCGAGCAGATCTGCCCTCAGGAAGGATGGGTCGAGCAAGAACCAAAGGAGATAGACTCGGCGATCAGGACATGTATAGCCGAGGTGCTGACGCGCATGTCGGAGAAGGGCCTGGACGCCTGCAGCATCTCCACGATCGGCATTTGCAATTCGCGAGAAACGACTCTCGTCTGGGACTCCAAGACCGGAGAGCCGCTTTACAATGCTATACGTGAGTGTTTGTTGTTGTTGTCATTATACGAGGAAAAATCCCGGTGTGTTTACATGCGTGCAACAATGCGCACCGATTGGCTGAATTTATAAAGAATCAGCGAGATAGACGGAGAAAAAAAGAGAGAGAATTGGACGATTGATGTCGAAGGCTCTTTTCGTCAAATGCAACAAATCGGTTTGTTGCATAGTGCATTATAACGCAGTAAATAAATATGTACGCATCGTCGATGACCCATAACTCGTTCCTTGTATCGTCATGCTGATATAAGCACTTTTCTCTCTGGTGCAAAAGCCTCGGATTTGATTCTCTCTCTCTCTCTCAATTAAGAAACGCGAAAAACGTGGAAATACCATCGAGCCCGCGCGCCGCATCCCACTTTAACATTGCCCCGCGAGAGAGACTTGCGTCATGTTTTTGTGCTTTATACACACGCATACAGTGTGTAAAAACCGGTTTTTCCTTAACATTCGGTGTCTATCGGCGCCCGTTTACTTCCCTCTCTTTTTCGCTCTCTTCGTGTGTATATTATAATACATTATAAACAGTCCATTTCTATGCAAACGATCGACTGCGCGGGGACTGCGTAGTATATAGACATCGAGCCGCGTGCAGATATGCGTTGGAAAATTAATTATTAACGATCGACGCATTTCCGATGATTATTTACAGTCTGGTCGGACATAAGGACGGACAAGATGGTCGACGAGATAATAGCCAAATTCCCGGACAACAATAAGAATCACCTGAAGCCGCTGTGCGGTCTGCCGGTCAGCTCGTACTTCTCGGCGCTGAAGATGCGCTGGATGATGGATAACGTGCCCGCGGTGCGTAAAGCCATGCGCGAGCGACGCTGCATGTTCGGTACCCTAGACACTTGGCTCGTTTGGGTAATGACCTTTTGTTCGACAAAAGATGTTTTGTTTTTTGCAAAGAGCTACGTAGAGCAAAAAGTTCACGAGTTCGTTTCTTGTTGCGTTCCACCAGAATCTGACGGGCGGCAAAAAGGGCGGCCTCTACATCACCGACGTGACGAACGCGTCGCGCACGATGCTCATGAACATCGAGACGATGCAGTGGGACACGACGCTCTGCCGATACTTCAACATTCCCATGCAGTATCTGCCGCAGATACGCAGCAGCTCCGAGATTTACGGAAAAATCCGAATCGGACCGCTCAAAGGCATACCGATATCCGGGGTAAGAAACAGCAGCCGAGCAGACGATACGAAATCTTTCCTTTTTTTTGTTGAATAAAAGCATAATTAACGCTCTTTCTTTTGTTGTTAAGATTCTGGGCAATCAACAAGCCGCACTGGTCGGCCAGAACTGCCTGAAGAAAGGCCAAGCTAAAAACACCTACAGAAGCGGCTGCTTCTTGCTCTGCAACACCGGAACGCAGGTAACGATCCCTCTATCTCGATTTCGCGTACTACCGATCTATTTCTCGCGAGAACGAAATTTTGAGGCAATTTTTTTTTTATTTTTCGCAGAAAGTATTTTCACAGCACGGCCTCGTGACGACCGTCGCCTACCAGCTCGGTCCCAAAGCTCCGGTAGTCTACGCGCTCGAGGGTTCGGTAGCCGTCGCCGGATCGGCCATCAAATGGCTGCGCGATAACATGCGCATGATCAAGGACGTGCAGGACAGCGAGCATCTTGCCGCCAACGTCCTCAACACCGGCGACGTCTACTTCGTGCCGGCCTTCAGCGGACTCTACGCTCCCTACTGGAGAAAAGACGCCAGAGGGTTGGTATCCGCGTGTGAATGAGAGAGTCGACGATGGGTTGAGCAATTTTTCTCATACGATCTGATGTATTTAGAATCATTTGCGGACTGACGGCGTTCTCGACCAAAGATCACATTATAAGAGCATCGCTCGAGGCGGTTTGCTTCCAAACTAGAGACATTCTCGAGGCCATGCACAAGGATTGCGGTTTTCCATTAACGAAACTCAACACCGATGGCAAAATGTCGGTCAACAGTCTTCTCATGCAGCTCCAAGCCGACATCACCGGTGTACCAGTTTGTAAGTTGTAACTTCGAAACTTCTTGCACTTTGACGGATTAGCGAATACCGACGAATGAAATTATAATTAATACAGACAGATCCAAATCGGCCGATATGACTGCCTTGGGTGCGGCGAAGGCAGCTGGTAACGCAGCTGGTATAGATCTTTGGACTTTGGACAACGAAGAATCCGAGTCCGTGTCGAACGACGAATTTCTACCGACCACAACGATCGAAGGTAAATAATATCACAATGTCATTATGATTTTTAGAGTCGTGCGATTGTACCTAATAAAAGAATTTTTTTTCAGAGAGAGACAAAAGGTACAAAAGGTGGAGAATGGCAGTTCAAAGAAGTCTCGGCTGGGCTTCGGTGAAAATGTCTCCGCAGATGACAGGTAAAACAACTGTTGCTCCTAGTTGCAACGCTGAGCATAATAAGGAGACTAAAAAGGATTCGTTTATTTGTAATCCCATCGAGACGCGAAGCTAGTAGACTTAGACTTTGTAGAAATCCATGTTGTATTTTTGTGAGATCAAAAGACTTTATCATCCTTTTATATACGGGTAATATACCTGCGTATATGAGAGTATATAAAAATTGACACTTCTCCTCATCCTGAGAAATAAATATCTCTCATTAGATGTTGTTTTTAAGCATGTTGAGAAAAAATTGTAAATACTTTGTCATGAAACATAGGTACAATAGTGAATGCATGATTCAAATTTGTTGTTATGTCAGTAGTTTATAATTTTACACAGTAATTTAGTTTACTATGTGATTGGCACTTAACGAGCATCTAGTAGTATTACTATTGTCATTTTATGGTTCATTAGTTATTAAAGTTGATGTATATTTTTTTAAACAAGTTTTTTAATATTTGTTTTTGATAAAACATTTTATTATTCTCCTTGTCCTGCTATCCTTCTTGATTTTTATGGTTTTTTTATTAATTACCTTTTGATTCCTATACAAAAAATCACAATTTGCAAAATGTAATAAGAATTTGATCAAAACAAAACTGATCCAAACCAAATCATCAAATCATTGATGAAGTAATATAATAATTTGATTACGATTCAAACGTTGGTTAAAATTCAAATATATAACATGACACAAGGCATCATTGTTTTTTTTTTTTTTGCTTATATTTTGTTTTTACAAATGTTATTACGTATTCACAATCTGTGATTCTTTGTTATCTCAAAGTTATAATTAAATAATGAACAAAAAGACAGTTTGCACATGAGAAAATTTTGTTTTTACAGATGATAGGTATCGCATCTTGGCGTCAATACCTGCGAGCTGGTTCTTACTGTCAACGTTCATGTTACTTAGAATCAGTTGCTTTTTCGACAATCGGTGACGCATTAACGATTGCCTCACGAAAACGATCGGCCGCAATCATCTAGCTATTCAATCTAGTACAATGATACCCGCACTGATGTAGTCAACCCCAAACGCAGGCGTCTTCAATGCCACGCAACGACAGTGAAATTCACCGTTTACGAGTTCAAGAATCTGCAAATGAAATAACGAGTCATAAGCTTGTACTCACGAGTGTAATGATGATTTCGCACAGCATGAGTATCGTAGCAATTGTGATTTTTTGGAAAAATATTTGATTTGCTATTCAACGGCGAATTTTATGTAGAATAAAAATGATATTCTCGCATGTAAGATAAAAAAATGATGTTGAATGATATTCATAAATATGAGAATAATTTGAAATGTCAGTGATGTAATGGTGATTTATTATACGTTTGAAATGATCCGTGTGTTCAATGTGACTAGATTTATTTTGATGATCATTCAAAAAAGCTTTAGTCTAATGAACAACCAAATTATATATCTTAAATATAAAAAGTAAAGCGGTATAAAATATGATTGAAAGAAATTCATAGAAACCATATTGAGATTTTTATTTAAAAATAATATTAATGGTAACAATGTTTTTAAATGTATTAATCAAGTATGTTTTATCATGCCTGAAAGAATCTCTTGAATGATGGATCGAACAATCACTTGATTAATATCGAGGAGTATCTGCTATTTTATGTATTATTTTATTTTTTTTTTTATCTTTAATTTTATCTTTTATTTTATGTAATTGTTATTGATTTGGAAATATAATGGTTTTGTAAGCGTTTGAATGGATGTGTGAATACGGTATATCAAAACTTATTTAACTTTCTAAGAACAAAAAATCGATAACTGTATATTTTATTCATAAACCCACGTATTTTTAAGGAAAATAAATATTATTAAGAATTATGTTTTGCCCGCAGCAAGACATTAGACGGAATTTTTTAAATTTTAGTTGTATAAAAGTAGATTTTAAGAAATATTGTATGGTGCTGAATAATTGAATACCATCGATTGTCAAACTTTAGGTTTATAATTGTTGTTTGCATTAAAAAAAGAATATAACGCGTATATAAGTTCTGAGAATGTGAACTACGAAGAAAAACAGAAAAGGGAAACGAAACGATGATTTGTCAGGTAGTTTGCAAATATCCTGTAATTGTTCCTTCAAAAAATAATTTGTTTAATGTTGTTCAGTCTTTTTTGAGTACATTAAACATTTTTAATTATAAACCAAATCAAAAATTAACTAGAATTCGTCATTTCACCGATATTCCCTCGAAAAGCCCACTCAGCGTCCAGAAGTAAAACTTGCACAATTCGTGGCAAACGTGTCGCATGATCTCTGAATTTTCATCGAAACTGGAACTTTGGCGCCGAATCGTTCGAAAATCTGACAGTCGAAATTCGCGCATTCGAATTGACCCGATAAGTACAATCGTCTCGTCACGCGATCGAGTGCTAAAAAAAAAAAAATTATTCGCAATCGCATGCCATAATATACCGACCGATGCGAAGTGCGAAAATATATGTAACGCGCGATAGAGGCATATATCGCGCCATCCCACGCTGATTTTCGGCGTCTTCACCCACGCGAAAACCTCCAAATGGCTTGAGCGTGTCGCCGCACGGCGTCGCTGCTGCTGTTTTCGCACACAGGCGAATGTGTCGCACTCTCTGTCTTGCTTCTCGCAGCGGCGGCGAGCGAGTCTGTTGGAGTTGGCGCACACACACATACAAACCCACACAGAGACATTGGAAGCAATAATAACAATCTTGCGTTCGCGCATCGAAGCAGCAAAGCCGCCTGCCTGCCAGTGCCTGCTTGCTTGCCTCTCTCTCTCTCTCTCTCGTTTGCTCGGAGCTGTGGTGGCAGCTAGTTTGCGGCTGCAGCAGCGAGCAGCATCAGTAGCCGTTCGCCGCTGATTGTGTTTGCGCCGCGCGTTTTTCCTCGCATACACACACACGCATACGTATACGTACGGAACATCATATATACACATAGTGTGCACGTAAATACTATAGCTATATATATTGTTGTGTGTGTACATGTATATTCGCACATTCGGAGTCTCTCGGCTCCTCGGCTCGTCGAGTGTAGTACCTTGGCTACAGTCGAGTGTGTCTGCGTGCGTCTACAACATAATGTACTTGTGTGCGTGCGTTAGTTAGTATATAGAGAGAAATAGCATATACGTGCGTGAGTTGCTGCTGCTGTAGCTGTAGCTGGTGAGTTGCAGCCTGCTGTAGTGCTTTGCTGCTGGGCTGGCTCTAGTCTGTGTGCAGTGCGTGGTCGCGCTCCTGTATATGTACATATATAAATAAAATATATATAAACGTCGTGTATAGGCCTCGTGTCGATGTGTGCGTGCGTGCAATTATAAACAGCAGGATCGGAGTCGTGTTCGAGGAGCGCAAAGTGTAGCGATAGTTCGTAGTGTATACATATCTGGCAGATTATCGTCATCCTCGTTATATTATCATCATTATCATCGTAAGCCAAAGTGCGTCTATCTCACTCTCTGTCTGTCTCGCACTGTGCATGTGTGTGTGTGTGTGCTGTCTGTCTGTGTGTGTGTGCTTGTGTGTATGCTGCATGTTGTTGTGCAGTATTCAAGTGCGTTCGCGAGTGTGCCCGTGTGTCTGTGCGTAATGCACCGACGAGTGCAGCAGTCCTATACAGAAATTCATTCACTTTAATGGTAACTGTGTAATAAAGAGAGCAAAAGAGAGTAGTTCGCCTTACGCGCGTCTCGTTCGCGGTTTCTCTCTCTCGCTCTCTTTCCGTCTGTCTGTGCCATTGCCGCTGCCGCCGCATCGTGCAGTCGTCGTTGCTATAGTGCTTCTTCTTGGTGTTTCTCGTCGTGCTAAAAATTCAGAAAAATTGCCTATGCCAAGCGTAATCGGTCTCTCCTGGCGCGGCTGCAACAGCGGCAGCAAGCAAATGTCAGCTTCGAGCTCCGCGACTCTAATCTCTCGTGTATAATACACGGCTCTCGAGTCGATCAGCGCAAAAGAGAGCGTCTCTCTCGCTTGAGCAGCAGCCGCTCGCTGACGGACCTCCTCTCCTAGCGCCTCTGCGAGAGGCCGGGATCGTTGAGCGCACATACCCATATACACTTATTCCGTCTATACACATGATGTTATTATTCTAAACGGGAGCATTGTACATAACAACAACATGAGACGGCGTTTGGAGCTTTATACATAGCTGACTGATGCTGCTGTTGCTGCTTGACGTACAGCAGGAATCGTCTCTCGAACTGAATTATTAACTCGTCTCTCGCTCTCGGTCTGTCTTTACTCAACGCTTGTGTATATAACGTATCGAGGAATACCTTCAAAAACACCTGCAACTTTTCAGGTTTTCCTCTTTTTCATTTTTCGTTTATTTTTATTTCAACGTTTTTTTTTTACCGTACGCTCAATGAAGCGATGCTTGGCGAGATGCAGGCAGTGTACAGTGCAGTTTGCGGTCCGTCTATGTATGCGTTCGTCTCTCTGTGTGCATGTATCTCGCGGCCGCGTGTGCATGTGTGTGTCTGTCTGTGTAATACGTGTACGCCTGACGGCTCCGAATGTGTTGGTCTATCCGTGTTGTCCGTACAAGAAACTGCGGGAGAGCCTGTGTAGTTGTGTTGTATATCCGTTGGATTCGATGTTAGTATATGTGTGTATCTTTACTCGCTTGATAACCTGTTGTCTGGCAGACTGCGGTGATTGAAAATTCATTTAAACGATGAGATGAGTATGCGATAGAAAGTAATCATCATCGGTGGCGAGCTGTCGTAAACAAAATTATGCAAATGAGAATCGTGAATTAATGATTATGACGGATATAAATTCGGGCTTGAAAAGGAGTGCTGAAGATCTATTGGCACGGCATTTTTGGAAATGAATGTCAAGCATCTTTACAAGCATGACTACTGTTACCACACTTAAATAGGCAAATGAGAATTTAAAAGCATAAATGTTGGAATTATTCAAAATAATTTCCCAAAGACTTGTCTCGGTGTATTATAATGAATGACTCATAAGAGCATTATATATTCTCATATTACTGATTCCATTGATGCACTTCTATCAATGAGAATTGTCTTCATTGTAGTATCAGTAATGTTTATACTCAACTCTTGCATAACTTTTACATTGCTTAATGCACTCTGAAAAATTGAATTTAATCATTAGTTTAGGTCATTAAAGATTGTGAAATGGAATTTTAATCTGTTCAAATGTGTATATAATTATAAGTGTTAATATACATCATAAGAAATAACAACTTTGAACTTTCACAATTACAATGTATCAACTTCTAATTCCTATGTATTATTATTTCAGAATCAAGATGTCTACTCCAGGTGGTGGCGGTGGCCGGAGTCGAACTGTACACATCAGTTCAATATTCCAGAAACTGCAGGGGCGCTTCACAGAAGTCATGACACCACCAAAAATGTCAACTGATAAACGCATGTTAGACAAAACGTGGAAGTTGATGGACAAAGTAGTGAAGTTGTGTCAGCATCAACGCATGAATTTGAAAAATTCACCACCCTTCATACTAGACATTTTACCAGATACGTATCAAAGACTCAGGCTCATATATAGTAAATATGAAGATCGGATGCATGTGTTACACAATAATGAGCACTTTTGTGTGTTTATTAATAATTTAATGAGGAAGTGTAAGCAAGCAATCAAGTTGTTCAAAGAAGGCAAAGAAAAGATGTTCGATGAGACATCTCATTATCGAAGAAACTTGACAAAACTTAGTTTGGTGTTTAGCCACATGCTCTCTGAACTAAAGGCAATTTTTCCTAATGGTGTATTTGCTGGTGATCAGTTTCGTATTACCAAGTCAGATGCTGCGGAATTTTGGAAAGAACGATTTGGAAACAGGTATGCCCAGCTCAAATATTTACCACACACAAACACAGTTTAGTAAAGTAAGCGATTAAAAATTCGCACTCTGCCTCGTTATATACCGTGTGCAGATCACACAAATGATTTCACTTTCTTATTAAATGGCTTGACTCAATTCATGAGATCATTTCCGAATGACCTGTAGTGAAACTGATATCGCGCGCGCGAGCTCTCGCATAACTTGGAATTTATCAACGACCGAGAAAACCTCGTTGTATAAATATTGCATGATTAAAATATGTATAATTCGCACGATAAGACACATTAAACATGCACGAGGCGAATAATGGTCTATTACAACTCGTCGCTGAGTTTGCATTTGCAACTTTACAATAGATACCGAAAGTTTTCTACATTTTAAAATACACAACTGAAGCGAGCCAAATAACGAAGTTACGAGTTCTCGGCCGGTGCAGCAGAAAAAGCAGGAGAGGAAGGGGTAGGAATCATCAACGCTGGCGACTATATAGATTATTTCCGGCACACATATATAATTCATCTCGGTGAAAAACAAACAAGCGATCTATAATAAATGTCGAAAATGCATCAAACCGGCGCGCAAGCACACACACACTGATACACGCACACCTATACGTACACAACCGCGAGAGAAAGAGAGCTTGAGCTTGAGCTCTATAGTTTACAGTACTCGTACGCGTGCTATATGTGTGCATCGGTTTCGCGCTGGCCGCGCGCATCATCGTCATCGTCGTCGACCGACGCTCTTTTCGTATTAATAGCCCATAACGACGTATCACGAGACGATGGACGTATATAGCGAGACAAGTGCAGTGTTGAGCCTGTGTGTATATATATGTGAGCTTACGCGCATAGACTCTGGCCGGTGTTTATATACCTACGACCCACTTTACTTACCCGATCAGCTGGTGGTGAATCGAAGGACGCATATACATATGCATGCGCATAACGTTGTATATATAGCGTAGCCAACGGCCGCCGCGTTAATGATGTAATCGCCGATGGCTACATCGTACATGTAATACCGGATATGCCGATCGATCAATTTTTCGCTCTCTCTTGCTCTCTGGTCTTTTGGGGCTCCCCGCGCACATTTGCGCAAATATTGGGGAGCTTTTAATGATGATACACAACGATGGCGATGACGCTACTCTGCTGTTGCTGCTGCTGCTAATGTAAGTACGTGAGCCGCTGCGCTGATTACGAAAACCTCGAGCCGAGCTTTTATATATACTATTACGTTGTTACTGCGGCCGGAAAATGAGATGCCTGCGAAATTTCGTGCCGTACCCTCTCAATCGAGAGAGCTTTTTGTGCGAAACGAAAGATTAATCACTCAGACGATCGCGGAATATTATTGTAAACCAATGCCCTGAACCCAAGAATGGCATTCTTTTTCTCTCTTTATCTCTTTTTCCCTCGTGCGATCTGTGTTAAAATTTAAAAATAAAGTTTTTATCAGCCTGGAATGCGGTGCACGCGAGCAAAAAAAAGAGTAAAAACAATATTTATTCACCTCCCTCGTTGTGATGCTATGCTACTCTGTGTACATCGCCGTGCGCGCGACAAGCTCGTGAAAAATGCACCGCGCCTGCAGCAGCAGCGGCGGCAGCTTCATCGCAAAATGTTTTGCGGGGCCAAATTATCTTCGATGAGTGAGACTATTTTTAAAACTCTGCGCGCCCGCGAGATTCGGATTTTAACAAGGTTAAAACAACCGACTTTGAATGAACTTTTTTTCTTCGTCTTCTTCTCGTTTCCGAGTGTCGTCAAAACACCAAGGAAACAGAGTCGGTGTATCCGGACGGGGCGAACGTTTAATTGAAAAATCAGGCACGCGTGAAACTGCACGGGATGAAGTACGAAATCCATACGGACTCGTCCCGAGGATCAACCCTTTGAAAATCCCAGTTCAATTATAGTTTATGTATATACTTCGTTAGTTTGAATCGACGTTATACAGAAACTAGTTCAGCGATCTGCTAATAGATTAATCGATCGACTTGAGCACATACCGATGCGCGGCAATACATCGCTCTTTTTCCCATGCAAACGTTCTCGCATTTTATGAAGGATAAATAATAATGAAAAAAAAATGATACAGTAATCCCAGGCGTGTCAGGGCAAACCACGCGAGAAAATCCTCGATGTTTGTACGTGTACGATGCTCGACGAGTGTATACCATGTGTGTGCATATATAGCCGTGTGGCTTTCGTTGCGTTAGCTCGAATCGCAATATCAAACAAAATCAACGCGCGGGATTAAACGTATTTGTAAGTAAAACGTGTTCAAAAATGTTGCTCACACATACACACATATAGAGAGATCAAATGGTCAGGGTGTATCTCGTACTGTATACGTGCATTTATGCTCGAGCACAGAAATAGATTTGCGTACGCGGGGCCAACGACTGTGTGTGTATGTGTGTTGCTCGCGTGTGCACTGTGCACCGAGAGGATTAGAGAAAATAATGGTTAAAAAAAAAGGAGACGTCCGAAAGTTTGACTGCACTCGGTACGGAGTTGCTGCCGCTGGCTTTGCTCTGGACCGTTTAAAAACACATTTACACGTTGAGCATTTCTCTTTTTTTTTTAACAAGTTCATTATTTCTCATCGAGTCGTGCTTCGTACATACACGTGTATGCGCCGAAGAAAAACCGAACTAAACGCACGAGCCGTAAAAAGTTTGCCGAGTACTTTCCCGATTGATTATAAGCCGAAGCATCATTTGCGAATCCTCTATTTCTATGCTATATACTGGCTTTTTCCTGGAATGACGTTTATACGCTCGCAACCTGCAACCTGCAGGCGTTACGTTACTCTACCTATATACGTGCGCGCATCGACGTCACGAGCACGCCGATCGGAAAATTAAGTGTAGGTGTTGTTTACGTTGACGCTTAGCTCGTATGTGTGTGTACCTATTATACACAGGTATACCCTAACGTATACATAACTTTCCGTCCGATATGCTCGAATACGTGAAGTTGTATAGTTCACGGCAGCAGCTTTCAGCGCGAAGCTCTCCACACGATAAACTTGTTAATCGAACTTTGGCCGTACCGTATAACGATTTCTTTTTTTTTTTTTTTTCTCGTAAAGTCAATGTTGAAGCGACCGACCTTGAAATCGATTATAGAAACGCACACATAACGTTGATTTACGAATTGTTTGTTGTTGTCGTTGTCGCCTGCAATGGTCACCTTCGCGCGGGAAGCCGCACTGTCGAGAAAGACGTAGGGTCGCGCGTGGTATTTCCTGGAAAATCCATACGTGTGCTCGCGCGTAAAGCTCCTACTCGTCCTAAGTCGTCATTCCCATCATCGTCATCGGGCGCGCAATGATCAACGCGTGTGTACATCATGATGCATTATAATATACGTGTACGGTACGCAAGCAGAAAAATTAATCGAGTTATAGTTAGCACGTGCTGCAGGAGTGGCTCTATTCGTTTGGAAAAGATGAGTTGGCGTTTCCCCCACGGGGTATATTCTCGAGTGCTAGTCTAGCTCAGCTTTGCACCCGCGTAATATACGATATATATAATAATAAACACGTGAAACGCATTTATTATTTTATTATAGCTTAGTTTTACGCTGTATAGTTTTGTAATGAGGTTATCCGCGTGTAACACGTTTTACCTGGAAAACACGACGTGTTTATGTTTTCATTTTGCCTTGAGAAAATTTCGACTTTATATACACGCACACCAGCGTATCTCGAGACACTTATGTACGAGATCGCAGTCGAGACCATATATTTTGCCTGAAATCGAGTTACAAGTAAACTTGGGAAGATAAATCGCCTCTGCGCCTTCCATAAATGCACGTACGGTTCAACGCTGCACCGATTGCTCAATGTTCGACCTAGCGTAACAATATACACCTTCATAATTTGCTACGCTTCGATGCGGGGATCACACCCATCTCTCTAGTCTCTGTCTTTCCCTCTCTCTTGGGTATATTAGTGGTTTCTCTTAATTGAAAAGAAGATTAAAAACCCATCGAGTTTCACTCATAAAAATATTATCATTTTTCTAATATCATCAACTGTTGTTGTTATTGGTTAAAATAAACATCAGTTCTAGAGCAAAGAAAAAGAGAGATTTAAATGCTTCGTGAACCAATCGTACACACCCGTGTACAAATCGCAAATATCATATTTAGCAGGAACGACGATGTTTTCAAATGAGAAGTAAGTGTCTTGGCCAGACTTTTCCGGGCAATCATAATCCATACGCAGTCACATATATAAAGCTCGAGTCGAGAGCAGGCAAGAAGAGATCTGGCCACAGCCATAATATAATGGCCAAAATAAATCGGAAATTGTGCGCGAGAGAAAGAGAGAACGAGAGCTCTTGACGAGTTTTGTAGATTTATCGATAGCATTAACATCGAAATCACATCGCAGACGTGCGTGCATATATTTACGACTGTGGCTGCGGCTGGCTGGCCGACTGTCCGGAGCTGAAGGAAGGCTACTTATGTGTACTATTACAAAGCGATTAACCTCCTTCGCTTTAGAATAAATTGTCGCTGGTGCATATGTGCGGCTGATGCTGCTCCGAGCTAAAATAATATTCGCCAACTTTGCGAAGAAACGTGCGCGAGGCTATATCCTCGATATAGCGATATCTACATGTATTACCGCCTTGCGCCCAATTTTTCCCTCCTCCTATAATTTGATTAAATATTCCGGTATGCGGCTCGAGAGTATATGTGTGTATACGTACTCATAAACGTGCACCTTCTTAATATAACGGATACGTAATCTACTCGCCGTGAAGTACGTATATACGTTTGCGGGCGCGCAATTCGCAAGTTGAACGAACCTCACGCTCACGCGCTCGTCTGGCATATAGTGTATGTAGGGCCTCGCGTATGAAGTACCTATTTCTCTTCGGTCTTTCTCTCTCTCTCTCTCTCTTTCGCAGCGGGCATGCACAAGTGTTTTCTCCGAACGGATTTTTTTCGACCCGTCGCCGCCGCCGCCGCCG